AGAAAAAAAGATAAGAGGAAAAAACAAAGTAGCCTTATCGTAAAGGACCGGTAAATCCTCTTAGTGCTTCAACAAAAGCATCGCTGCATGAGCAGGCTACGGGAACTAGTTTTAGCCCATGACACACTAGTGTTTGTTAAACTGCTTTATATATATATATATATATATATATATATATATACAACAGTAAGTCAACATCGAGAAACTGATATTTTATAGTAATATTAAGTGAAGTTTATTCATAAACTAATTTCGAGAGGATCTCGTGTTTATGATTTATCACGGCCGGTCTCGCATTTGCTGATTAATATCTTCCAATCATACGAGCCCTAAGCTACTATAAATTAACATAGTTTTCAGTTTACTTTATCTTCATTTGGAAGAAACCCCCCTCCTCCCCTTTTCTCCTCCTTTACCTGACTGGGCGACACGGCAGCCCAGTGGTTAGCACTGCGAGCCCCACAGCAAGAACACTGCCGGCCCTGGTTCCACAGGACCGGTGGGTGTTTCTGTGAGGAGTTTGTATGTTCTCCCCATGTCCGCGTGGGTTTTCCCCGGGTTCTCCGGTTTCCTCCCACCATCCAAAGACATTCAACATACATAACAACCAAGCATTTATCTAACCCCTCGTGTTCCCTTAGCTACTGCAGCAGGGGAGTTCTGAGATCCACCGAGCTCAGGCTCCCCTCTCGCTCTGCCAAACGGGGGGAAGCCCCGGGCTCGAGGAGTCCTTGAGCTCGGGGCTCTCTCCCGGGACAGCATGGCAAACAAGCTTTTTTAAATCATCAGCTAAGTGTGAACTCTTGAACTACTAATTTACAGCTAAGTGGTGTTGCAGAATGAATCAGCATGTTTAAATCAATTGGTTGCACACTTAAAGGGATAGTTCACTCAAAAAATTTAATAGTTCCAACCCTTTGAGTGTCTTTGAACACAAAGATATTTTGAAGAAAGAACTTGTAACCATTGACTTCATTAGGGGAGCATATAGCACAAAGTAACGCGGGGTAAAATGTAACAGAGTTTTAAGGTATTTGCTCAGAATTAACCATGGCATGCTTGCAAGGTTTTCACCACAGTGTCAACAGACTTCTTCTTGGCAATTATTGAAAAAGTTCAGCAAAATTTGGATGAGAAACACAAGAGAAACCATTTTTTGCAGCATAAAAGTATTTTTTTTTATTATAGTCAATATTTTTTTATTTATCTGTGAAAGTATGTACATAAAATCTTATATTGTTGTGATTATCGTCTTCTATAGGCGATAATCTACCATTTTGAAAGATGTAAAAGACACACAGAGACTGCTGGCCAGTTTTGAGGAAAACACGACACACGATTTAGTTGTAACATGTTACAATTAAGCCACACACTGTTGGACAACCAATTAAACTAGCAAAATCATTTTGTTTATTTTAGGTATAATGTTGGGAACTTTTTATATAAAAAAAAATGTATAGAATTTAAATTTTTTTGCTAAAAAATTGAGCTAAGTACTGAGAAAATATACTATTAAAAGTAAACTGAATTTAAATTAATTGTGTGAAATCTGACTTTATAAGCATGTGTTACAACTTGCCCCACAGGTGGGGTAAATAGTAAAATTTTTACTCTTGGCACTTTTGGCAATACTGCACATAAAACCATAGGTCCGTTGATCATATGCTCAGTGCTCACTTGTAGGAGAGGCTTGTGTGTTGTTGGTAAAAGAAAAAAAAAACTAATTAACACTAATTCGTGCCTCGGCTGGGTCAGTTGCCGTTTTTTTGTGGAGTTTGCATGTTCTCCCCACATCCGCGTGGGTTTCCTCCGGGTGCTCCGGTTTCCCTCACTGTTCAAAGACATGCTCTAAAGGTGAATTGGGTAGGCTAAATTGACCCTAGTGTATGTGTGTGAATGAGTGTGATTGAGTGTGTATGGATGTTTCCCAGAGATGGGTTGCAGCTGGAAAGGCATCTGCTGCGTAAAACATGTGCTGGATAAGTTGGCGGTTCATTCCGCTGGGGTGACCCTTGATTAATAAAGGGACTAAGCAAAAAAAAATTAAGAAAATGAATGATTCAATGGGCCGGCACAGTGGCTCAGTGATTAGCACTGTTGCCTTATAACAAGAAGGTTGCTGGTTCAAGTCCTAGATGGACCAGGTGGAGTTTGTGTGGAGTTTGAATGTTCTCCCCGTGTTCACTTGGGTTTCTTCTGGTTTCTTCCTCAGACCAAAGACATGCACTATAAGAGAATTGAATAAACTAAACTGGCTGTAGTGTATGAGTGTATGGGTGTTTCCAAGTACTGGGTTACGGCTGGAAGGGCATAAAAGACATATGCTGGAAATAGTTGGTGATTCATTCTGCTCTGGTCACTTTTGATAAATAAGCTGAAGAAAAATGAAGGAATCAATGAATGATTCAATGATTGATTCATTATAAAGTAATTTTATTGCTCTGTGGGCAGTTCATAAACAAATTAAAATGTAACAATGTTTTTGGTGCAAATTATGTAACAAAAAACTTTAATTTACTTATTTACATACTGTAGTTTATGTCTATTTTCTCATTTGATCATGAAATGAACTTTTGTTTGCTTGAAATACTTTGCTCTCATTCAAATTTTACAGATTTTTTTTTACATTTAAAAAAATTATAAAGTAACTAAATGAATAAATTACTTGAGTGAAGAGTTGAAATACATTTAAATACAAATCATCCAAGTGGATGCTACCAACAACCCCCCCCCCCCACCCACAATACACAATAAATGCGCTATATAAATACACATTACATTACATTAAAAATGAATGAAAAGATCATGCAGAACCACATAAGGAATTTAATTTTTTATTAATTTACTATTTGGAACTAGTATTTGCATTTTATAATACAAATTATATTTATTGTGTATCATTTTGAAAACAAAAGCAAAGATTTTTTTCAATTATGAAATTCCCTACATAATTCATTCAATATTTCCAATTCAAAACTACAATTTTTTTTTTTTTTTTTTTTTTACAAAAAAAAAGCATTCACTTATTTATTTTATTTTGAGCTTAGTCCCTTTTTTACCAGGAGTCGCCAAGTGGAATGAACTGCTAACTTATCTAGCATATGTTTTACACAGCGGATGCCCTTCCAGCCCACCCAACACTGGGAAACACCCATACACTCTTGCATTCACACACATACACTACGGCCAATTCAGCTTATTTAATTCACCTACAGCGCGTCTTTGAACTGAAACCGGTGCACCCAGAAGTAACCCATGTAAATATGGGGAGAACATAGAAACTCCACATAGGAACGGCAACTAACCCAGCCGGGGCTCGAACCAGCGATCTTCTTGCTTTGAGGCAATTGTGTTACCCACTGTGCCACCATGACGCCGACACAAATGCATCTCAAATATTAAATATTTGTGGTGTAAATCTTATCACACACTTTGCCACTATTAAAAAGCTATAGCAGAAACAAGAACAGCAAAACTAGACCTGAGTGTAAGTACTGCCAACTTATTTCAGTTCGATCTAATCATTTTATGATAATTTACTGACTTTGGGGTCAAATCACTGATATTTCATTTTTAAGTGTATTATAATTATTTACTCAGGATTTAGAAAACACTTCATTCACTTTTCATTTATTTCCCTCCATTATACGGCACAAAACGCATTAGCGCAATTGCTTTCCCAGCTGTTTCTCATCAGGCAGATGTGTTTGTTTGCATTGTTAATTCATGCACAAGTGAGCTTGATTTAACATTTGCATTAGCTTTTGGAGTTTCTGCTGGTATTGAGTTTTTTGCTCGCTGAAACAAGGAGGAAATTAAATCATGTGAGCAGCCTAAAAACACTATGCATATTTCTTTTAAAGAAAGAACATTTTATTGATTGTTAAAAGTTTTATCCAAAGCATATAGTAGAAATATTTTAAAAATTGGATAGATAAACTTTCAAAAGGTTACGATTCAAAATAAGAGCCAAAACAAAACTTTAACACTTTAGTTTAAGTACCAATTTTCACATTAACTAGTGGCTTATTACCTGTCTGTTACAATAATTGCTTTTTAGTACAGCTTGATCTAAATAAACATCCCTAATTCTACCCAATTCCTAAACCCAACCACTACTAACCTTTGTGCACTGTTCAAATTTACTACCCTTTTTCTCAAACATATCAAGATAAGTGTGCACAGGTCTCTCTCACACATATTATACTCCATATAGTAAATAAGCTTTTTTGCACTACAACTGATTAATGGTAAAAAAATAAAAATCGACCTCTTCCAACGATGAAATCCAGCAAAAATCATTAATGCACGATTATATAAAGTCATAGCTTTGAAATAAAAAATGTCATTATAATGGAATTCAATGGGACAAAAACAGCCATGAACATAACTAAAGTGTAGGCCTAGTAAATTTGCCCAGAGTGCATTGCTAAGCAAAAAAAACAAAAATAACAAAACAAAAAAAAAACACTTCATAGCATTTTCAAAAAAAAAAAAAAAAAAAAAAAAAAAAGATGTCACCAAAAATCATTATTTGCTGAAACAAACGCTGTAGCCAAATGAAGACTCAAAATCACACCAGAGTGAATGATCCCCAAAAGACCACAAGGGGTAATAAACAGCAAATTAGTAGTTTGGGGCAAAAGTCCAGGTTAATGGTGTATTAATAGCAAGAATTGTACCTTAAAATAAGTTGTTTAAAGGGGAAATTATTCTTTTAAGAGCTAAAATCCTTTAAGCTAAGATCCTTTATCCTTCAATTGCACAAACACAGTTTTATACAGTGGAAAAAGATCCTTAAACTGTTGTTCCCATTAAGAATAGAGCCTCACTATAGGGAAACAAAAATGGTTATTTTAAGGCATCCCTGTGAAACCCCCCTTTTGGAACACTGATTTTAGGCATCAGACAGTTTCACTTCCCGCACAGCACGTTTCCAAATATCAGTTTTTTTTTTTTTTTTTTTTTTTACATTGTAAAAGAATTAGAAGTAAGTAGTATGTGAGAGTCTAGTGTGAGAGGTAAACATCTCCTCCCCCGCTGCAGAACAGCATCAGCATCTCCAGTGTTTGGAGCGGGAGAAAATGGAGCCTGATTGAATGTGAGAGCAGGCGGAAGAAAGCAGAAGCGGCGGAGGGAGGGCAGTGAGCAGCACAACTCCGCTGCTGCAGTAGCAGGGCATCAATTTTGTATAATCGTCGAGTGCAGCAGCAGCGCGTTCGCTCGCCAGCATCAGAGCTCAGGCTTCCCTGTCTGTGCCATTGCCTCTGCACCGCGGAGCATGGAGAGCCGCTCGCGCCTCGCTTGGCCACCGAGTGATGGAAGGCGATCCGGGCGGGCTCTGTAGGCATGTCCGCGTCCGATTCTAGCGCTGCGCTGCTCAGCTGCAAGGTACGGATAGTTTGCTTTCTCTCTCTCTCTCCCTCACTTGCACTTTGTCTCTGTCACTCTCTCTCTCGCTCGCTCAGTCATTTTCTCGCGCGCGCTCTCGCTCTCTATTACATTTTCTCTCCGTGTGATTCTGTAATCAATCAGTGCTGCTTTGGTGGAGTGAATGAATTTTGCATGCATTCTGCCTGGGTCATAGTCTATTAATATCTTCATGTAAGCCTTTTTTGTTATGAATAAATTATTCTCAGTTGAGATGCACGCCTTAGGTTTTCGACCAGCCTCATCAAAAGCATTCAGCTGCATTGATTGTTTTATTGAAAACATGTATTGCCTGATTAAGATTGTTGAGATATCTTTTACTTCTTTCTTTATGTGGGTGTGATATACAACTGCAAGTTGTTGATATGTCGTTTTGCAAGGCAGACATGGCCATTTCAATGGTTTGATTGTGATTTAGTTTGTTTTGTTTTGTTTTTAAGCACAGAATGTAACCAGAAAAATAAATTCCAAATGTATTGATTTTTTAACTGTGCCTGCAGTTGTATTTACTAAGTGTGTTATATTTTACATCTATACATCAAATTCACTATCAAACTCTTTTTTGGGGGCATAGAATTTTTGGATTTTCTATTATTATATTCAAGATGTTTAAATATTAGATTCTGGAAATGTTCCTAATAAAAGTAATATATAATTTTTAAAAAATCCTTGTAAACTTGATGTCAGGGGCGAAGAGGTTATCTGTAATTAAATTAATATTAATAGAAATTTCATAGCCATAGTTCAACTCTCAGAAATAAAGGTATAAAAGCTTGAACTGGGGCAGTACCTTTTCAAAATGTGAAGTTTTGTACCCAAAAGGTCCATAATGTTAACTTAAAGGTATACATGTTAGAACCTAAAATGTACAGTGGAGTCAAAATTTTCAAAGTTTTTGGGTAATATGCACCCTTTTTCAACACCTTTATTTGCAAAAATGTATGTGTTAAAAAGAGTTTTGAATGCTTTTGAACCTTTATTTCTGAGAGTATAGCTTATAATATAATACAATATAATACAATACAATATAAAAAGTTAAAAAAGAAAGCACACTGTTGCTTGTGGACGTATGTTATTTGTCCTCACCAGAGGTTTTGTCTTGTAGAACATTATATCCATGCTGTTAAACACATTGTAGCAGGCTTACATGAAATGAGCAATCAGATTGTGACAATATGAATGAAAATAGGGCATGAAACTGTTTGAAGTATGGGAGAATGAATAACTGTTATCTAACAAGCATTGTGGACAAGGGGACGATTTTTGAAAATTCGCCCCCTGTTGGTTGTTTGTCTCTATTGCAGAACTTGCAGAAGTGCTCAATTCCAGCAAAGCACAGACAGAGATTTGAAAAGGCAAAACACAATGCATGTAAAAATGTGGAATTAAAAAAATATTATTTAACGTCATAATGCAATTAAAATCTTTGTACAGTATTCACGTTACAAGAATTGTTTTATGAAAGTTATACTCATATATATATATATATAAAACTATACTAACTATTTTGCATCTGATCAGCAACGTCTTTAAAATCACAATATTTAAATTGATTATTGTATTGTTTTATTTGGATAAGAAAAAATCTATGTTAAAATGTTTGAAACCTACACAAAATAATACATTTTGGAGTCTTATAGCTTGTGAAATTATCTATGGGAAGATGTTTCCATCAGATTTCCTTTCATGTATAACAAGATGTTGTTGGATTGTTTTCATATCATGCTAGAAAGTTTATCCACAACCTGTGGATTCCATAAAGGTCAAAATCAGCTCTTGTAAAACAAAAAGAAGATTAAGCAAGTATTTTGACATTGTGAAAAACATTTCAATTCATCTTTTCATTTAAACTGCTAAAACCTATTTTCAATAATATGTACAAAAAAATTGGCCAAATTTTTAAAGCTTTAATATATACATTTTCACGAAGCACACATAGACTTTTTAATCTCATGTGATACTTTGTAGTTGATGACAGCAAATAGTTTAGAGTAAACTTTATTTGAGCTACACATTGTAAACAGGGGCCTGTGTACACTTTTAAAAATGCTTCTTTTTGGCATCTTTAACAACCAACACGAACATTACACGGAAACTTTCCATTCAACAAAAAGTTCTTTAAAGTGAAAAAAGTAGTTTATATTTCTTTGTTTAAACTATATTGGTTGTTCTGCTTGTCACAGATCAAGAATTGGCCTTTAGCACTGGTAACATAAACACAGATATCCACAAAAACAGTTAAAAACACACAAGTTTAACTAACTAACTAACTAACTAACTAACTAATTTAGCCTCTTACGCTCTTCAAGCATCTTTTTACGTAGACTCATTGGGATAATGTGCCGAGGGATACATATTTGAGAACCGAGAAATATGTGCTTGTGAGTACATATGGCTGCATTTTGTGTGTAAAACGAATGCTACAGGGTGGTACTGTATATGGACTGCTTTTCCAGCCTGAATGATTTGCTCAATAGTTCACCATGATTAGTGTCCTACTTAGGGTTTGAGTCTGGCGAAGGAAAATTTCAGAAACCAGATAAAAACAAAAGCCTGAAAAAAGTGCGTAGCCGTGGCTTTCCTCTTGTAGTTTGTTTTTGAAAACACTAAGGTTTTGATGACAAGCCAACTGGCTTCTCTTAAGGATGCATACCAGAAGAATGTTAAGATATGCAGTAATGTATACAGTGGCCTCTGGTGGATTCATAAGAAATGACATATATGAGAAAACATACAGCAACCTCTAGTGCAGGGATGTCCAGATTCGTTCCTGAAAGGCCTGTGTCCTGCAAAGTTTAGTTTCAACCCCAATCAGACACAACTGGCCTAGCTAATCAAGCTCTTACAAGGCAGTCTAGAAACATCCTTGCAGGTGTGTTGAAGCAAGTTGGAGCTAAAATCTGCAGGACACCGGCCTGCTCTGCACAGTTTTGCTCCAACCCCGATCAAACATAGCTGATCCAAACAATGAAGGCGTTCATGTAAGGGTGTCAAAATTGATTGTTTCTTTGGTTCACCGCGATGCAGATGGGGACAATTTGGTCTCAGTTCAGTAAAAGATCATAACTGGTTATTACATACTGACGTCATTGATCTCATGTGCGCTGTCACGGTAGAATATTATGGCGAGGGAGGTGACCGCGAGTAATTAAAAAACATAAACTCTGCAGTTCACATGTATTTGCTGGACAGTCATTTACTGACACTAAAGTTACAGCAAAAGCCCTTATTCACTCCCATTGAGAAAATGAAAGTAAACTTCATCTCTCTCTCTCTATCTCTCTCTCTCTCTCAATTCAATTCAATTCAATTCAATTCAATTCAATAAATGCTTTATTGGCGTGACAATTGTTACAAATGTATTGCCAAAGCAGTTATAAAATTTACATAAAAAGTAACATACATATATAATGAAAAAAAAGTACACAAAGTAAAAAGTAGTAGCAGCAAAAAAAAGGAAAAAGATGATGTTAATATATAATAATTAAATAAAATATCAACAATACATCATATTATTCAATATATCACATTAATATTCAATATATTATAGTATTATTCAATATTAATTATTCATACAATTCAATACAAAAATAGATCTGAATAAACTGTACATTTTTTAGGATAAAACAGTAATAAAAACAATAATAATCAGTATATATACAATGATTCATTTATAATGTGTGTCTCTCTCTCTCTTTCTCTCTTTCTTACTGTGGCCCCTTTGACCTGCTGGCATGATGTTTCCTCTCATAATATAATTCTTTATAATTCCCCCGATAATCGTAACTAAACCGAACTGTGATCCCAGTGTAGGTTCACACGTCTTTGTTCATGACTCTTTGGAACACCTCAATTTTTTTGGATCAGCTGGGCTTGATAGGGTTGGAGCAAAGCTGTGCAGAGTTGTGGCTCTCCAGGAATTGAGCTTGAGTCCTATGCTCTAGTGCAGTGGTTCCCAACCTGGGGTCCGCGCCCCCCTAAGGGGGGCGCCAGAGTTCATAAGGGGGGCGCGGGAGAGGATAAGTGTTGAGGTAGAAAAAGGCATAAAATGCTCCACTATTATACAGGGCTGTACAATTAATCCAAAATCCGATTTCGATTTCAAACGATTATAAAAAAGCATTAATCAAAATAAACAATTATATGCATCATATACCGCCCCCTTTCCAGTTGTATGTGTTGCGAAAGACCGCGTGCTTATGTGTGTGTGCAACACGCACACGCAGTCAGAAGCATACGGCCGGTCAGCATTCGCTCTCATTCGCACACTGAGAGGAGCAGAGGAGCGCAGACATCTAAAGTCATCTTAACGTGAGCGCTTTAATGGTCAAATAGGTGTCAAAACGCGGTGTTTAGTGGTTATTTATATTAACCCTCATTTGTGTAATAAACTAACGAGTTGAGGATCAAAAGACGTGAAAGAGAAACCATTAAAGAGACAGCGCAAAATATTCCTGCTGCCGCCTGTTTTTATTATCATTAATCAAACATAACGAGAAAATGTTTCTCTGCTCTTGACTGAAGGATTTCTGTAGCTAAAGTGTTTTTCTTACAGTGGAGATGCTTAAAGCACAGTTTGTTTTATATTTTTATTCTATTGTATTTATTTCTCTTTCCTTTGCAGGGTGGAAAAAAACTATATATACACTTGAAGTCAGAATTATTAGCCCTCCTGAATATTAGCAACCCTTTTCCTGGCCAATTTCTGTTTAATGGAAAGAAGTTTTTTTTTTTTTTTTTTTTTACTTAACTACTGATTTTTTTTTTAATCTTTGCTATGATGACAGCACATAATATTTTACTAGATGTTTTTCAAAATATAAGCATTCAAATTTAAGTGCAATTCAAAGGCTTAATTAGAGTAATTAGGCAAGTCATTGTATAACAGTAGTTTCTTCTGCAGACAATCAAAAATATATATTGCTTAAGGGGGCTAATAATATTGATCTTAAAATAGGTTTCAAAATATTTAAACCTGCTTTTATTCTAGCTAAAATAAAACAAATAAGCCTAGAAGAAAAACAAATATTAGAGGAAATACTGTTAAATTCCTTGTTCTGTTAAACATAATTTGGGAAATATTTATAAAAAAAAATTCTCAGGAATATATGTATTTTTAAGTACCAAAAAAAAAAAAAAATCAAAACACATGCTTAAAATTCCAACATAATAGTAAAAATAATTAAAATAAATAACTCTAAATAATTTTTTGCATTTTGCTCACTTGCGCAATGTGCTTGTCCAACTTCTCGTAAAGGCAAAATCAAAACAAAAATGGCAGACAAACGTCAATGTAATGATTCTTCAGAGGTGAAGAAAAAGATTAGACAGTATGACAAAGCCTATCTAAATACACATAAACACACACATACAGTAATATATATATATATATATATATATATATATATATATATATATATACACGGTACATATGTGTGCGTGCGTGTGTATTTATATTTTCATGGGGGGGGCCCCAGAGAAAAAGGTTGGGAACCACTGCTCTAGTGCAGTGGTGGGCAAACTTTTTAGACTCGAGGGCCACATCAAGTTTTGCAAACCAAGTGAAGGGCCACATGCCAAATTCTTCAAACAATAACTTTTATTTATAGTGACAGTATGCATGGAACATGTAATATCGGACAAAAACATGTCACATTAACACAAAACAGATTTTTTTTTATATTATTAAATCAAATTTATAAGTCAAATTAATTTGCACTGCAATTTTATTTACTTAAAATATAATAATTATAATAATAATGTAATAATTTTTAAAGTGGAAAAAAGAAAAGATATTGTCTGATAGAAAAATCTCATATTATTAACACATTAAAAATAATTCTTAATCAAGTCAAATTTACAAGAATCTCATTTGCACTGCTTTTAGAATATACAGATCAATCATCATAAAACTTGATGAAACCACAAATCTTTGATAAAATTACTTTTTAAAGTGGATGTATGCATGGAAAATATATTCTATGACAAAAATTAACACATTTAACCAGCAATTATTATATAATTTGAGTCAAATGCACAACAATCTCTTTTCAGCTTTAATAAATAAGCTCATATCAATCATAAAACTATGAGATAAAACGGAAGAAGAATCCAAGTCTTTGTTATTCCAAGTCATGTTATTATGAGTGTGTTAATGTGAACAATGAGCTGCTACGACAGAAATGCAAGGTGCAGCAGGCGGTTAAAACGGGAATAACATAAGCAGCGCGCAACTCCCTCACTGCCATTAGTAAACCCTTTAAAAGAGGCACCTCTTAACGCATAAAGCATGTTCGGTGTGATCAGCCCCTTAGGTTTTAATCTTTAAAAACAGCAATACTTTCTTGGCATATTAGAAATACCACTTTCTGTCTGATATTGGTGAAGAAGTATTTGTTGTCCATTCTTCCTTAAACACACGACATTCAGAGTCAAATTTTCTTTTTTTGCCTGACTCATTTTCAGTCATTAACGGCCGAGTGCATTTTAATATCCGAGACAGTGTTCTAATTCTACTGGTTGCACTAACTGTACCGCGTGCAATACTGCCATCACATTGCGTTCACTTGTAATTGCATCATTAATTTACTAATTCTTAACCAAACGTTACTCAGAAGCAGCATTTTAAAAACTCCCTTGCGGGCCAAATGAAAGTGTTCAGCAAACTGCATATGGCCCGCCGACCATAGTTTGAACACCTCTGCTGTAGTGGATTTGTGAAAACAAAAACTGCAAGAAGACGTAGCTCTCGGTACATATTTCTCAGTTCTCAAAATTATATGCCTGGGCACATATTTCCAATGAGTCTGGGCTGAACATCTATTGAACAATGATCCGATTTCAAATAACAGCAATTAGGACAAATTATTTTCTTTTAATTGATCAACTTTTATTGTTATTAGAGAAAAAAAATACATCTAAAGAGACAATTATTTAAAGAGAGCACAATACTGGTAACTTGAGTCAGAAGAAAAATAAAGGACAAATAATCTTTGAAAGAATTTCATTCAGCTCTAGGAATTTTAAGCCTGCATCTTGATGGTATCACGCTCTTTAAAAATAACAGTTTCTGCAACAATTAACAACCACAAATCAAGAACTGAAAAGCTAAGGCCTTATATATGCAAAGATAGCAATCAACAAAACCAAAAACGGGTGCAATCAATAATAAAATCAAGGTAACAATCAAAAATCTACAGCGTAAAACAGTGACAAATCAGTAACTAAGCAGAATATGACAACAAAGCGATACTAAAGTCCTAACTCTTATATCCGGCCTTTTCTGGGAATGTCTAATGATTTAGATGTGTGTTGTAAGAGCAATATATGGGACAAGGTGTTGTGTAAACACTGTTAGCCGATGAGGTTGATATCCATTGTGTCTTTTAAAGGATTACATTACTCTATCGATCCAGGTATTAGTCTAAAAAGTCTGTCGGGTCATCTGAAAATGACTTAGAGTTAATGTATGTCGTGTGTGTGTGTAGGAAACACAAAATGGTTGTGCAAGTGCTCTGAAGCTCTTGTGTTTGTGTTGTTGTACATCAAAGGCCTCGTCTATACTTTATTTATTTCTAAGCTGAACACATGAAAGAGGTGAACATGATGTTGAGTTGGTTCAGGATGGCTCTGTGACGGAAGGGACACTGCTTGATTAACATGTTCATTTAGACAGGAGCTATATTTTAATAGCTCATAAGAATCGTATCTTAGATGGTGTCTACTTAATTATGCTTCATCTCTTCGGATGGTAGGTGTCGCAGACATCTGTGCCCTGCAGCTGCCTTTGATATTTAAATCATATCCTCACTGTGTTCTGGATTTTGGAGGAGAAAACAAAGAGAGAGAGAGAGAGAGAGAGAGAGAGAGAGAGAGAGAGAGAGAGAGAGAGAGGCTGATGTGGACTGGAGATCTGAGAGGATGGAGGATTGCAATACATGTTTGGCATATTTTGGTTTTGGTGTGTTGGAGATTAACAGGGACTTGGGCCAAAAATGTTACTAAAATGGTTAAAAATATACTCCCTGATTTTAGATATGGGGGTGAAAAGCACCCAATCTGAATATGAATGAAAAGTGTTGACTGCAGCATTACATTTAGATCTGCACACATTGCATCAGATCAAGGATGATGATAAAAAGGAATGATTTTTGTCCTTAAATTCCTACCATGTTTGTGTTCACTGTTTTCATTATTCAACTTTCGTGCATGTGTGCTGGCTTTGAGCAGAATTGAGAGGCTAGGATTTGTTTATTAATAAAATATTATTGTTTACAGTATTTAGTATCACGATTGTCTGAAGTTAAATGTAGTATTTGAAGTATTTGCAGCACTGCCTAAAATATACATAGTAAATAAAGTCTGCAGTTTTCCCTGTTTTATGATTATGATTGATATTTGCCCCATTTAATTATGCTTTGGAACTGCATTACAGGATCTTGGTATTTCTACTTACATGTTTTGATGTTGAAAAGTTTGAAAAGGTTTTGTGTGTTTTTTTTCCACCAGACCAGTGACATCATTTGTGAATTTGGCAATTAAAGATCTGAAATCTTGTATTTAAAAAAAAAAACATTTAAAAGTTTTGATCAGGACTGAGGTTGATTAACAGATTTATGCAAAAAATGAGAAAGAAAAAATGTATCTGATGCAGATTTACAGTTGATTCAGTGGATGTTGAGCCAGGTTTCACTCAAGGTTTTTTTTCCCTTACCTTTTGCCCATTGGTGACGTTTTTTTTTCTCACCACTGTCGCCACTGGCTTGCATAGTTTGGGACTTGTAGAGCTAATCTAAACTGAACTGAACTTTAACTCTGAATACTATTTCAATTTACTAGAATCTTGAAACTGCTTTGACACAATCTACATTGTTAAAGCGCTATACAAATAAAGATGAATTGAATTGAGTTTATTTGAATGTTTTTATCCTGAACATAACAAAAGGGTAGTCCATTTGAACAGTACACAAGGGTTAACATTTTTTTTAGATTGTAATTTGTATTACAAAAGACACTGCCATACCTTTTCTATTATTTTCCGAACTTAATTGTCTATATCTTGTTTATTATACAATATATTGCTTTAAACTAAAATGTCAATAAAAGTAAAAAAAAACTTAGTTGAATTTTCAGCATCAAATCAGAGCAAAGATCAAGGTCCCATAATGCAATTTATAACTGTAAATAAAACAAATAAATTAAAAACTGGGAATCCTGAAATACAGAACCTGGTAATTAACAAATATTTAATTAACAATATAATTATTAACAATATATAATATATAATTAACAAATATCACATAGGTATAATAAAACAAAACCAATGATAAATAAAATACAGCTTAAAACTGCAAAAATAAATAATAATTTCAAGTAAACCACTCAAATATTTTTAACCTTATACTGGGAAGAAGAAATCACTAAACCTGATTCATTTAAATAACAGTGATCCATGTTGTTTTATATTGATACATTAACTAATGTTAACAAGCACAACTTTGGATTTTAAAAATGCATTAATATGCATAACTAATAATATAATAACTATGTAATAATATAATAATTATGATTAATACATGCTTTACAAGATTACTGATACTTAGTTAATGTTAATAAATGCATTAGTTAATGGAGAATTATTTTAAAGTGTTGTCAATTACACTAGCAAACATTTCTCCTTTCTGTCTTTTTCTGTTTGAAAGATTTTGCTTTCTGTTTATAAGCTGCTTGACTTAACTGGGCTGCTTAAAATCTTTTACAATAATAGACCTTTGCAGTTAAACAAAATACAATAGGAGAACAGGGCAACAACAAATCAATTAAATAATAATACAAGTAATCCAGTGGTCGAGGACATTATAGAATTGAGTAAATTATCAAAAATTACTTTCAAAAATAAAATAATAGAGTTACTCTCGGACTGGTCTCTTGTCTTTTCCTCAGAGTTCAGCAGATTCCTACACAAGTCGACCATCGGATTCCGACCTGTCCCTGGAGGAGGACAAGGAGGCGTCTCGGCGTGAGGCCGAGCGCCAGGCACTGCTCCAGCTCGAGAGGGCCAAGGTACAACTGCCATTTACCTCTCATTTTCAAATAATGTTACCCTGTGCTTTGTAAGTTTATGCTAAAAAACTATTGCAAAATCAAATGAACCAATTTTCATGAACCAATTTCTTGCAAACAAACTTTTTCCACTAGTAATAAATATTCTAAAAATCATAACAACCAATATTGATAGTTTTACATACTATATCAAAGCATTTTATTTAATCTTATGAGATAAAAGTGAGTTATCCCATTATCAATGACAAGGAAGCAGCAATTAGCATGGACGTGTCCTCATAGGAGGTGTTTCTGGGAGGTTATAGGACACTATTCACAGAGGATCTATGGATTTATAAATACTGGATGAAAGAATAAATTGCTTGACATGTGCAATGAAAAATAGCATGTTGTAGTGGTTGGATCATGCCTAAATGCACAGAAACTCACAAATTTCCTCAAATTTTTTAGCCCATCACTGAGTCTATTTATTTACTTAAATGTGTATAAATGTACACTACTGGTCAAATGTTTGGGGTCAGTAGGAGTTTTAAATGTTTTAAAATAATCTCCTCACCAAGGCTGCAATTATTTGATCAAAAATACAGTACAAATTGTACAATTGTGAAATGTTAGTGCACTATAAAATAACTGTTTAAATGTAGTTTATCAATTAATTCAATCATTTATTCCAGTGATTTTAAAGATGAATTTTTTGCTTCATTACTTCAGTCTTCAGATTCATATGGTCTCTCGGAAATCACTCTAATATTAATTATTATTATTTTAATTATTTTTAATTATTATTAATGACTGGAGTAATCATTTCATATGAAATGACATACAATAAGAAATCAGTGATTTAAAGTTTTAATACATATATTTTTTTAAATGTTATTAATAAAAAACATTTTTTACTTTTAACAAATGGCGTCTTGATCAACAGAATAATTTTCTTTAAAAAAAAAAAGAAAAAAAAACTTACCCTAAACTTTTGACCGATAGTGTATATTTATTCAGTTTTATATTACTTTCAGTTTTATTATTGAATAATATGCGCATTTTTATATAATTTATTTACACTTTACAGTTTGCAGTGATATTTTTTTGTCTTTTAGTAGATCATACATGAGAGACTTTCTTTGTGTTCCAAACAAGCAGTTCTAGGTAACACTTTACAATAAGGTTCATTAGTTAATGCATTTACTAACATGAACTAATTATGAACAACACATGTACAGCATTTATTAATCATAATTGAACATTTACTAATGCATTATTAACATTCAAGTCCATGCTTGTTAACATTAGTTAATGCACCATGAGTTAACATGAACTAACAATGAACTACTGTATTTTCATTAACTAATGTTAACTAACATGAACAAATACAGTAGTAAATGTACTGTTCATTGTTTGTTCATCTTAGTAAATACATTAATTAACATTAACTAATGAACCTTATTGTAAAGTGTGACCCAGTTCTAATTGGATTTGCATCGTAAACCTTCAATAAAATATTTTTTTCCTTTATGTTTTAATGTTTAGGTCTATTTTAGTTATTTATTTATTTTTTACAAAATTCTAAGCAGAAATAGTAAAAAATGCCCACAAATTCTGTCTGGGATCGGATCATGACCAAGAGATAGAAGAAGGTTTTTTAAGTTTGTGCAATTTGAAGAGCAAGGGAAGCATAAAGATAATAAGCATCAGGATAATAAGCATCAGAATAATAAGCATCAGAATAATACGCAAAGTTTTTAGTAACTTTTCAAAATTTATTTATTTATTTATTCATTTAATTGGTAGACCAAACCTGTGGCATTTGCAGTAAGAACCAATGTCAGCTACTGTGGGGCTCTCGATGAAGACTGTCCGGTTCAGGGTGCTGCCATCAACTTTGAAACCAAAGATTTTCTACATATAAAGGAGGTGGGTAGTCAACTGAAGATTATGGTTAGCATTTTTCATAGTTTTATTGAACATACTGTCTCTTGCTCTACAGAAGTATAATAATGACTGGTGGATCGGGAGGCTGGTGAAGGAGGGGGCAGATATTGCCTTCATCCCCAGCCCTGTTAAACTGGAGGCCATGCGGATCAAGCAGGAACAGAAAGCAGCTCAGAGGTCTGAAGTACAACTGCTACTCATCATATCTATTGTCATTATTTAATAATGACTATGGCAAGTTACTTTAACATTTCAACAATAACATGTAATAGCAGTTATTTTCATGCTAATACTTGTTTTTTAGACAAGTTTTTTAGGCATTGAGTACTAAGTAAGAAGACAATGATATTTAGCTTGAAAAAAAAGCCTGGCTAATATGTTGAGATTGTACAATCAATCAATCAATCAATAAATCAATCAGTCAGTCAATCAATCAATCAATCAATCAATCAATCAATCAATCAATCAATCAATCAATCAATCAATCAATCAGTCAATCAGTCAATCAGTCAATCAGTCAGTCTACACTGTAAAAAATGCAGGGTTCCACACAATTCATTCTTGTTGTCTCAACACAAATTGATTATGTTGACTTAACACTTTTAACAAATTTATGTGAATTGAACATAAAAAAATTAAGTTGTTCCAACGAAATCTCAAGAATTGTGTTGTTTCAGCTCATTTTAAATAAGTAGTTTGAACAAGCAAAAAAATCCATCCATTCATCTATCTATCTATCTATCTATCTATCTATCTATCTATCTATCTATCTATCTATCTATCTATCTATCTATCTATCTATCTATCTATCTATCTATCTATCTATCTATCTATCTATCTATACTATATTATATTTTGCCATGAGCATATCTGAAGAATAGCCCAGGACACAAACTAGTGGCGTTTTTTACAACATACAAATATATTATCCATCTGTAATTCAAGCAGATATTTCCATTTTGCTATCAGGGTTTGTTCTGATATCCATAACCTCCAGACTGAGTTTGATTCATTGAGAGAAAAAAAAAAAAAAACACCACAGATTGTATTAACCTCCTTTAGGATTTGCACTAAACTTAAGAAACATCAGAGACTGATTGCCACTGTGTATAAAACAGTGGGGCATAATAACTGTAATAATTCTGATTAAAATTTACATTTTGCTAAAAATATTTGTCTTTGGGGCAGTTCATTCCACTGCGGTGACCTCTGAAATGGAGACTAATCTAAAAAAAATTGAATGTTTGTTGTTGGCCAATAAATGTGCCATATGATGAATAAGTGTATTGCTTATTGGTGCAGTAACTGTAATTTGACTGTTTAAGCAATATCTCTCCTGTTCAAACTTATGTTGTTGTTTTTAGATTGTTTCGCAAATTATGTGCACTAGCAAAGGATACATGGTTACAAAGAGGGTTAGATATTTGGTTACATGGTTGTTTTCATAGCTTTTAATATGAACATTGCTTCTTTGGGCAACATTGGCCAGTATGTAAAAAAGGAAATCATAAAGAGACTTTGTTTTTATCCAAATATATTTCAATGTAAAATAGTAAAATACCAAGATGATTTGTGGACATACTGCCAAACCCTAACTTGGAACAACAAATTCTTCTACATGCTTGATTTGAAAGCAGCAGAGGTAAATTAAATTTAATTCAATTCATTTTTATTTATATAGCACCTTTACAATGTAGATTGTGTCAAAGCAACTTTAAATAGTTCTACAGTCTGAAGAAATTCAAGGAAGCGTTTAACAGTTCAAACTTATCGTTTAATAAACTTTTGCATAGTGTAGACACACGAGTATGCTTTTACTCGCTGAAACAAGTTCTCTTCGAGAAAAACAACATACAATATATTTTTTTAGAAAAACTGTTCTTTAAACTCTTCTAGCACACTACAATAGTTATCAAAACTGTACTGTAGGTGAGAAATAAACACTTCCACCTTCAGCTGCTGTGGTTTTCCACTTCACTTGTAAGAAGAAAAAATATACTAATAAGAAAATCCTTCCAAGATTTCAGCATGAGATTTTTCAATGTATTATATCATACATCAAACATCATCTATCTGTGTGTCTCCTTTTATAACTTCTAACATGTTTGTGTTGTTAACAGGAAAATGGGCAATGCGTCATCTGGGGGCTGGAGATCCACTCCTCCCTCTGCAGGTGAGCGGTATTTAAATAATATTAACATTACTTCTGAGCCATAACAAATTTCCCCTTCAGGATACATGACGCTTTTAGCTGCTGTGCTTAACGATTTTTCATTATGATATATTTTGCCAACATAATCAACCAACTTCAGATTTTCTTAAAGACTTTTTTCTTATTTTTTACAAGCCAAACAGAAGCAGAAGCAGGTAGGTGTTTCAAAAACAGGGTATTACTTTATATATTCTGACCTCTCAGATGATTCTCTGTGAGAGATTTTAATGCATCCCTTGAGGCTACTCATTAGATGTTAGATTTGCAACATACAGTATCTCTGTGGTTTTCATTATTGTGAGGACCAAATGTCCCCTCAAATATAGAAACACCAGTCATTTTTGAGTTTGAGGGGAGATTTTTTTAGTTCCCATGAAGAAACCCAGCAAGCATTTTTTGTTTCTAAAATATGTCTAATAGATGTCTAATAGACATCTAAATATATTCTCCTTGGCTAAAGCAAGGCTAAATTTGGGCTGTCAGTGAAAATCTAATAGACGTCTAAGAATAGGCCAAAACTAGAGTAGTCATCAAATAAACAGAAATGAATGACTATACATAGACAGATTAGACAGACTTTATATTTGACGACTAGTCTAGTTTTGGGCTATTCTAGATGTCTATTAGATTTTCACTGACTGCCCAAGTTTAACCTTGTTTTAGCCAAGCTGTCTATGTTTAGATATCTATTAGACGTCTGTTAAACACAAAATTGTTTGCTGGGAAACGGCTCATAAATCATCCAGAATGAAGTATCTTGAACATACTGCAGAATGTTTTCTGTAAGGGTTGGGTTTCAAGGGTAGAGTTGGAGAAAGAGGATGAAATATACAGTTTGTATCATATAAAAATGATTATTTGTATAGGAAGACCCCATAAAACATAAAAACCTAATGTGTGTATGTGTGTGTTGCAGACTGAGCATGTTCCTCCCTATGATGTGGTTCCATCCATGAGGCCTGTTGTTCTGGTTGGCCCCTCGTTAAAAGGATATGAGGTAAATTTTTGTGAATTTTATTATCATGGCAGTTAAGAGACTGAGTATTCAGGACTTAAAACTAACAAGCACAGAATAAGTAAAAGTTTGACTTATTGTTATTATTATTATTATTATTATTATTATTAATAATAATAATAATAATAATAATAATAATAATAATAATAATAATAATAATAATAATAATAATAATAATAATAATGCAAATTTTTTTATGATATGCTTTTTATCTCAAAGAAGTAAAACACATGTGAAAAATAAAAATACAACCAAAAAATCTAAATAACAAACTTGCATAATGAGTCTTAAGGCCTTGATTACACTAAGTGCACTTTTTGTGACGAGAGGCTTCTTTTTTTAATAGTTTTCTAATGGCCGCAAGCATTCAGAGTCACGTCTTTTTTTACTGTCCAATCAAATGAAAACAGAGGCAGGGTTTCCAATAAAGTGATGACTACGAAGACTTTTAAAGATGGAGGAGGGACTAGTAGTCACTGTTTCGAGTCATCCGGAGCTCTATGACTTGTGACTTATGACTATCACAAGATTATTAAATATTACAATAGGGTATATGCAGAGCTAGTGTTTCTTCCCATGCTGATAAACTTCCAGTGAATGGTTAATGTGACTAAGGGTGTCCGCAGGGTCTTAAAAAGTCTTAAAATGCCTTAAATTTCAAAATCAAAATTGTATGCCAAACAAAGTCTTAAAGTGACTAAAATATAGTGCTGTAGGTATTAAATCATTTTAAACTGGTCTTACATTTCATATGTTCATTTAAAGCTACCGAATCAGACAAACACCTATCCAATCACTAACATTCTAACTCAATAAAAGTTTTACCAAAAGTTTATTTATTAACTCTTATTTATTAACCCTATTTATATTTTTATTTATAAACAAATGGTTTAATTATCTTCTATGCAAAATTAGTTTGTAATGTTTGCTTTTTTTGTTTAAGTGGACCATTAGAAAAAATCCTTAGCATTTAGCCTTGTTTAAGTCTAAAAATGAATTCATAATGATCTTAAAAAGGTCTTAAAAAGTCTTAAATTTGACTTGACGAAACCTGTAGAAACCCTGAGTTTTTAAAATTTTATACGGTTCCTTTTACAGCATCGATGTTGTAATGTAATTAAATATAATCTGTTAAATAGACTTCAGCATTCATTTAGTTGCTCAAGTGTAAAATGAGATAAAAAGCTGTTTACACGCACACGCTCGTCAGGATTAGCAGGCTAGCGCAGAAGCTCCATTGAATATACTGGAGTAACATAAATGTTCATATTTAAAAGACATGACAGGAAAAAATGTAATTTATTGCAGTGCTTCTTGTACATTCTGAGACCCACTTTATATCAAATATCACTCAGCCAGTGGAGGTCGTTGATTTTTAAAGAAAACAGACCTTAAACGCGCTTATTTTGTAAAGGCATACAGTTCACCGGAAGCGCTTGACCCAGGTTACTAACAGATTAAGTCATTACTTCTGCATATACCCTATTATAACAATATCAACAGCAGCTCTCATGCACAATACGCAGCTGATTCAGTGGTTGCCTAGCAACATAAAAAGCACAGCACACTTCTATTTCTCTATTTAACAAAAAAGCAGTGCAGTGTGCTTTGCTTTATCAGAATGGAAAAGCATGTTTGGTGTGATCAGCAAAAATTACAGCAAAAGTGCTGTCAGCATTAGGCATGAGACAATATCCGGTTTCATGGTTTACCATCGTTTGGGAAAGTAAAGGTTTTAAAATCACTAGTATTTTCTGTTATACTGTTTCTAACATATATGTAAGGTTTTTAAAAAAAATGTTTTTTATGTGTTGTAAATAAATCTGTGTTTTTGAAATCAATGAAGCAGAAGTCAATGATTTATTTTAATTATTTAGGCTGACATGTTTACCATTCCAAAATTGTATACGTTTCCTAAAATAAAAACTATTGTGTTTAATGGGGTGAAAAAGTCGTTTTTTTTTACTAAGACATTTTTAAAAATGACATATTTTAGAACAGTAATCACAATACTATGATATTTTTATCCAAGTTTGTCATACCGTCTGAAACTTATACTGGCCAATGCCTAGTCAGCATAAGATTTGGTACCAGAATTTATATGACTTACCCAAAAATGTTACATTTTTAACATCAAAATGGTTGCTTGAGTATAGATCAAGGTCCCATAATGCAGTTTAAAATTAAAATAATCAGAAAACAAAGTCATAAGCTAAACACAAACTATTTAATTAATAATATTGATATAATTTTATAATAACAATAATACAATTAACAATACCACATTTTCTAATCAAATAATTTAAAAATACAATTTTTGGCCTATGAAAATGTTTTACTGAATTCGCATACTCATATAGATGGTCATAATATTTGACTTTGGAGCGCTCTGTTCCTGCTATATGCTGCTTCTTCCCCATGCAGTGTTGTTGAATGTGTTCATGAATGTGAAATATTGAAGTGTTCCTGTGGCCCCGGTGCTCTGGACACATTTGTCAGTCAGCTCTTTAACAGAGGCACCGGGGACCTGCTGACTCTCTTCCTCTATTTCTAGACTCATTCATTTTTCACCCAGTGTCTAAATAAAACCGCATCACCTCATCTAAACCATATTAGCCTTACACACAACTCTTCCTGCAAAAAAGCCTGCTTTATTTCCCCTCTAGATTCCTTAGACAACAAAATCACTGGTTTGGGTGTGAACACTATTAATAGCTCAGGACCCGAAGCTCCTTAGATTGACATGGTAATTATATATGATTCGTTTCTGGGCCTGTGCATATTTCTGAAGATCTTTTCTCATTCAGGTGACTGATATGATGCAGAAAGCCTTGTTTGACTTCCTGAAACACAGGTTTGATGGAAGGTGAGTGTTTGTTTCACTGGTTTAAATATTAGAGGTGATTCAGTTCACTCTTAAAGACACAGCTCAACCAAAAATGCGACTGGGAAAAAAGGGGGGCAGTCAGATTATTTTAGAACACTTTTTAAACCTTATGTATAACATTTTAGTTAGACACAAAAATCATGTCACTTTCATAATAGTCTATAATACATCCCGAAGTGTCAGAAAACTTAAACAGAAAATCTAATTCTTTTCAACTGAAAAAATTACATGACGTTTCATCCAAGTGAGCTCTTTTTGTTTGTTTCCAATTCAGAAGAGTAAGTCTAGTCAGTGTACTAGTTCCTTGATATTGTAATATTCTTCTTATTTTTATTCTAACTATTTTTATTTTTGATATTCAACATTTTTTTTCCTAAGGTTTGATTTATTCTTCTATTATTTGCCTTATTTCATGACAGGATTTCTATCACCCGGGTGACTGCAGATCTGTCTCTGGCCAAAAGATCTGTTCTGAACAAGAAAGCGATCATGGAAAGGTCTAACACACGCTCCAGTCTGGGTGAGTGCAGTAAACACAATAAAACCGTGTCTTATATTACTACCTTTTTTTAAGTTCTGTTGATTGATGCATGTGCCGAATTTTTCTTGCCAATCTTAAGCCAATTGTAATCATTTGTTCTGGTTCAATTTGGAATTTCCACGACCCTCTCAGAGCTTGGGGGATCAGGGTGAATGCTTCTACTTGGCCCCATCCTGATCCATAGTTTTTAAAGAAGTATAGGTGTTATTAAACTACAATAATAACATAAATAGTGTAAAATACATATTAAACAACACAGTCAACCTCAGAACTGTATGAAAAGCCATAAACTGCTTAATGCTTTTAATAAACCATGAACTCCCAGCAAAACATAATGGGAAACGCCCTCCATAGACAACTGAAAGTTCTTAAAGGAGAAACAGAACAAGCACTGTATGTTCCACCACAGACGGCTCTTATGTGGCATCACATATTGTTTCATTATTAATGTGTTTCCTGTTATCATGCCTGTGTCTCTCAGCGGAGGTGCAGAGTGAGATTGAGAGAATATTTGAGCTGGCTAAGAGTTTGCAGTTGGTGGTCTTGGATGCTGACACGATCAACCATCCCGCACAACTACTCAAGACTTCCCTCGCCCCCATCATCGTCTACGTCAAAGTGTCCTCTCCAAAGGTAAAGCAAGATTTCTACTGTATTTTCTGATAAATAAAAGTTGCACCTGAATGTGTTGCATTTATGTCACATTTGATAATATCAGTCAGAAATGTTAAATAAAATTGTAGCTACTCGCCGGTTACCAAACCAGTCCACGCTTCCCAAACATTGACGTTCATGTGTTTTATTCATCGAACACTGTGAAAACTAAAAAGATAAACCAAATATTTCACACAAACACAACAAAATTTGAAGGACACCAAAATAAACTAAATCATATTCAAACAATATTTTCTTTACCAAGTGGGCCTCATAACCAGCAGTAGAATAATCAGGAGCTTTTAACATGTGCCTGCACTGAGATATAACCATGCTGTGTATACCAACTCTCGCAGGTTAAATTAATCAGGGAGGATCACATGAGCTCTGACTCAATCCAAACGGAAACAAGTTAATTTATCAAATAAACAAACCAAAACATATTCACAGCAAGAAGGTCGCTGGTTTGAGCCTTGGCTGGGTCAGTTGGCATTTCTGTGTGGAGTTTGCATGTTCTCCCTGTGTCTGTAGTGTATGTGTGTGTGTGTGTGTGTGTGTGTGTGTGTGTGTGTGTGTGTGTGTGTGTGTGTGTGTGTGTGTGTGTGTGGATGTTTCTCAGTGATGGGTTGCAACTGGAAGTGCATCCAGTGCTTAAAAAATATGCTGTATAAGTTGGCGGTTCATTCTGCTGTGGCGACCTCAGATTAATAAAGGGACTAAGCACATACGTAAATAACTAAGCACGTAAATAAAATGAAATGTTTGCATGGATCTAAATGTGTCATAACCATTAAGAACACAAAAGAAATGTAGGTGCACAGCATAAAAGAGTACACTCTCTTTGAAAATGAATAGTTTGATCCATTTCTCAGTGAATGAAGAATTCTGTAATTCGGCCTTTGGGTAAAAAATGACCCGCCTTCACTAAATCTCTAAAATACAGACTCTAAATATAATTTCAATCCTCATAACCTATTTTTGATAAACCAACCTAGACTTCATCACAAACTCTGTAAATGCCTATTGGTTTACCCTAAAAAAAACGTTTGGGAGTGTGCATGTGTGTACCTGTAGTTTGTGGCGTAAAAATCTTTTTATAGTTGGCGGCTATAAATTGACCTGAAGGATAATCGTTGAACCCTAAATGTTTACAGTCTTCATGAAAATATGAAAGTAGAAAATTATTCATTTTTTTAATGTTGCGGTCATATTAGAAAAAAATCAACAAACTTCAAAATAAAAAAATTGTTTAGGGTATTTTTATGCTGTTAAAATGCTGCCTGGGTTATTTTTGACCCATAAGTCAATAGAAATGTTAAACAAAATAGTTTTATTTTAACATACTTTACATATATACGTTATATATTACATGACTTAAATGTTATATATTCATTAAAATAAGAGTGTGGTCACCAAACACCTTTATGAATAGAAAAATAATACAATTAAATTCAAATAAGATGTTGCACAAAAAAAGACTAACTGCAAAACTAGCAATTAATAAAACTTCAGTTTTTTACGGTCCTCGTGATTTTTCCTCTTTATTAAATTTTTAGATTTTTCTCAATTTTATTCATTAATTCAACATATTCATTGGGGTGTACTACGTTTTACACCGTGATCTTAAGGTTATTTTGTTAGATTAGTTCCAGTTTTGGCTTTGGTACTGACTAATCTAATGTATACAGAAGTTTATATTGAATATATAAATAAAAATATATATATAAATATTATATACACTGTAAAACCCAAAACAAAATTAAGGTAACTCAAAAACTCAAACCATTTGAGGAAACCGATTGCAGCAAATCATTTAGGTTCAAAAACTGATCCTAATGAGTACTGTGAACTTAATCTATTTGAGTAAATGAAGCAATTTGAGTACAGTAAAACCCAATAAATGAAGAGAACTCAAACCAACAGAGTACTGTAAAACCCAATAAGTTAAGGCAACTCAAACCGTTTGATTAAACTAATTTATACGAGTACTGTGAACTTACTCAGTTTAAGCTGAAGTAATGAGGTATTTAATAAACTCATTATCTTCAACACTGAGTTCAAAACTCTTTTCAAATGAGTAGAATTAACTTTCAGTAAATTTTGAATTAACTACACTCATTTCATTTGATAAAGTTGACTGTCAGGTTTTACAGTGTTGCATTCATCTAAGAGAGAGATCTTTAAAGGCCTGCTCATTTACATGGCCACTGCAAACTATAACTATAAAACAAACAATTTTTGAACATTCACAATGATCCAATTGTTTAAAAAAGAACTTCAGACATAAAAAAAAACATTACTTTACTTACACAGGTAGTGTCAGATCTCCCTAAAGTACTCTCATGTCCTCCTTTCACTTCAGGTCCTTCAAAGACTCATTAAGTCCAGAGGGAAATCTCAAAGCAAACATCTCAACGTCCAGATGATGGCAGGAGATAAACTGGCACAGTGTCCACCGGTGAGTCCCACATTCAGCTCCTGTTAACAGACAATTTTAATAGTAAGCAGAAAACATTAATAGAACAGTCTAAGGCATTTGAATAGTGAAAAAACTAAAAAGCCTTTGTAAACATGATATTATTAAAAAAAAAAGCACTACTGTGCACCAAAAGTTTGTCAAGTGTTGCTTTCATCAGGGTGTCAATCTTCAGGTGCATCTGGAGTTTGTTTGAACAATCAGTTTCACATGAGTGAATTATCTGTCTAAACAATACAGAAAATAATATATCCAACACTATGAAGTCAACTTAACCTTCATTATTAATACAGTGATGGAAGAGAGAAAAAACTGCACTGTTACTCTTCATTATTCTGTTAGGAAATGTTTGATGTTATACTGGATGAGAATCAGCTGGAGGATGCGTGTGAGCACTTGGCTGAATATTTAGATATATACTGGCGCGCCACTCATCTGCCAGGCTCCGCTCCGCTGAACCCGCTGGTGGAGCAGAATGTGGTCACACCTCCCTCTGCCAACTCCAGCCAACAGGTGAGGGCTTCAGTGCCCGCCGCATGACCTATATAGGCTTTAATAAGAGTTCATTGAGCCTAAATGCTTTTATGCTCTTCCTCCAGTTCTCAGAGACGCAGGAGCTTATTGAATGAGCACGACCACAAGTAATGGTGAGTGTTGGACTTTTTTATTGAAAAAGGTTTTAACACAAAAGAAAGAAAAATAATGTTTTAAGTAATGTCATGAAATTTTGTATTATTTATCTTTTTTATAACTTTAGTACTTTTAGGACATTATCAAAGTTGAATAAATTTTATAAAACTATTTCAATTTTTTTAATTAATTAAAATGTTTTATTTCTGCAATTTAATATATTCTGCTATATATATATATATATATATATATATATATATATATATATATATATACGTATGTATGAGCAATATCACACGAAGAGTTGGAGGTTGGAGTGGCGCACTGGTTGAAGCCGTGCCTTAGTGTCCCAGCAGTGATGATATACAGCCACATCGCACTGCTAGTCATGTGATATTGCGTCAATACAAAAGTTCCACACCACAATCGTGTATATAAAAAAAGAAAATCAAACACGGAGAGTCTCAAAATCCTTTTGTAAGTGGAACTATTTTCTTCTGCCATTCATTCACATCTACAGCTGACGTAAAAACATCAGAAACCGTTGCAACATCACAAACATAACTTTAGATTTAGTATTAAAATGATTCTCTAGCTTAATATCTAAAGGATGACAAAACAAATATTTTTGCTCACATTTTAAGATTATAAGGCTGAACGGCATTAAATGCCATCAGTCTACAGAGATTTCCCAGTATTTCTCTGTTGCGATTGGGAGATCATAATAATTTACCCCAAAAAAGCCAAACCAATGCAAACACAACCAGATTACTGCTGTGTTTGTGATAAGGAAAACACAAACATTTCTAATATGTAATTCACTTCTCACACTCAATATATGACCATTGTATGGTATAAATTCAGCACCACAATATACAATAGAAAGAGATCGACTTTACTTACAAAGCAACTTAGTCACTTACCAGTTTTATAATGGTTTGATCACCTGTAGTTTAAAAGTATGCTGGGTTTTTTCCTGGTCTTAGGGCTTATTATGCAGTCTTTGCTGCCATATTGCGGATGGACAACGTTAACCCTCTTTGGTCTGCTCAATGACAGGCTAATCGATGCGCTGTCTCTCAGAAATTAGTAATATTTATATATAACCTGCATAGTTGCAATCTAAACAACCACATTCTCGAATAAAAAAGCTTTAAAAGTGCATTATGTTGTCCAACAGCAGCAATATTTGTCAAACTGTAGAGTGTCTTCTGCTTGTTGCTGTATGTGGACGGAGTAATACACGAGGGTTAAAGAGTAAAGAAGTGCTGTTATTTGCAGAATATTGCATGGCTATCAGCCAATCAGATTAAACAACCTGACAGAATTGTTATAATACACACACACACACACAATATATATATATATATATATATATATACACACATATGTTAGTTAACATTTTATTTTACTTTATCTTTTTTTGTATTTCAAGTTTTTTATCTGATATTTTATTTTATTTCAGCTTAAATTTAATTGACAAAAACTATTAATAATTTTATATTTCCATTTTTAGATTGATTTTTTTAAATTGAATTTTAACTTTTTTTGCTACTTACTTTTGCCATTTTAAATTAGTTTGATATTGTATATTTTTTAAAAGATTTCGTTTTTTTTTCTCTATGGCTTAATTTTCAGTATTTTTATATTTCAATTCTTTTCCTATCAACTTTATTTTAACAAAACAAATTTACTTAGCTGTAATGTGACACTACATTTATACCACTAGATGTCAGTATATCTCTACATTTAATTTGCATATAACCTCATTTTACAACTTAATCTTTGGTTTGTCTAGAGTTGACAAAGAACATTCCAGTAAAACAAGCCCCAGAATAATCCTTGAAGTCCAGCCACTCACTGCCCCAGAACCGTCCGGGGCGCTCAGAGGAGGAGCGAGGGCCAGCGGAGCAGCGGATCGACAAACCCCAGCCTCCCTGCCCTGCACAAACACGTGTGTCGTCCTTTACACCTCAGGACCACCTTGCTGCAGGCCTTCAGCCAACACAAACACACACACTCAACTGGTCTGAATGTCCCTGCTGAGACCCACTCTGAGATCATCAGGGGTTTCCCACAAGTCCTCAGTGGTGCCGTCAGTCTGCCTGCTTCTGCCAGCCTGACTCATATCTCTGGGGTGAGGCTGGCACTGGCATCAGATCATCTGTATAACCTGCTCTCTTAAAAAAGGGCCACTCACATCCTCTAACACAACTGCCAGTCTCCACCACCTGCATCGCTTTTGCTTTGATTTGAAGCTGTATTAGTATATCAGAGTATACTTTGTATGTTGGAGTATGCACAGTTGAATACACAAGCTTTCAAAATCAACGTCATTTGATACCCTTACGAAAATTAACCATGGTTTTATTATAGTAAAAGTAAACTGTATTTAATTAAAAACTAATTCATTTGAAATTGTATAATGAAAGTAAACTGTTTGAAACTGTAGTTGTGTGAACAAGTCATAGATTTACATTGAAAAATAAAAGATTCACTGAATTGGTATCACTTTATTTTGACTGTCCCTTTAACACATTTTGTTGATTATAAGTTACATTGAAACTATATGGCAACTGATTCTCATTAGAGTTTTAGGAGACTGCAAAGTAGTTGCAAAGTTTCTTATAGTCAGTTGAATGTCTGCTGGTGGATAAGTGTCAGCAGATATTAAGCAAACACTCTATTAATACTCTAATGAGAATTAGTTATCATGTAGATGCAATGTAACCAATAGTCAACAAAATGTGCGAAAGAGACCAAAACAAAGTATTACCATTGGATTTAAGGATTTATATGGGGTGAATTTAAATGAACAAATTAAATTTAGTTATGTTCAATATAATTTGTTTGTCTAAATTTAGCTTGTATAAATAGTTTGCAGCCACTTACCTTAAGATTTTCTAGTAAATCCTATTAATCATTTTTTCGGTGTGGTTTCTGTTCATAGTTTAGAGGAGCGAGAAGAGATTCTAGAGAGAAATTGATTGGACTTAAAATCTGACAACAAGCATAAGTGCAGAGTGATGTCATCAAACTGAAGGTACTGAAAATGTACTGGAAATACTTAATAAACAAATAATACCATTTGTAACATCCATGGCTGGTAAGAAAAAAACATAACTATAAAACTATAAAAAATGCAATAAAGTAAAAAAAAAAAAAAAAACTTAACAAGAAATTAGCAGGTTATCGTCTTCTTCCAAATATCTTCACTGCATCCAACGTCTGATTCCGCTCGCGCAACATTCAAATATTCGCGCCTTGATTTGACCAGCATTTGACCTCAATTCAGGCATTTTGCAACAGTTTTAATCTTGGGTAGATTGAACTTGGGCGGAGTTAGTGTAAATAGCTTCTGCCAACAAGTTGGGTTATTTACACTGGGTATTACGTGGGGTTTTAACAAGTGCAAATAGCCACTCCTAAGTTTTATTCAAAATGCAATGAATCTTCTAAATGGCAATTTCATAATTGATTTGGACCCTACTAGCTAGTTGATTTGAAGTAAGTCCAGGATGATTAATGGAAATTAATACGCAAACACGACTGAGCAAAGCCGTCATTGTCATCCACATCTTAAAAGGGAAGCATGGCTGTGTGATCATTTGTAAGTCTCCTCCGATCAACAGAGGGCACTTTTGTGCAAACACTTTAAACACCCACAAAGAAGAAACCCATGAAATCTCCATAACGTTGCATTATAAACTGTTTATTAACAAGTTTTAATGGCTTTCATTGATGCAGCGTGACTGATAATTACATGACTAAGGAATCATCTCACAAAAGGATTTATTTTAAACACCCGACTGAAGATATGATGTGTGTTTGGAGTAAAAACATGTATGTGCTAATTTCACTGGCAACATTTTCTACAGAGCCGTAGTTGACTAAAGCAGGTCGCACACCAGAAGCGCCGCTCGGCGCCGCAACACGTACATAACATTTTAAAGTATCACACACCAGACGCGCACATTCTAATGATATTTAACATGAAACTAATCAGATGGCGCTCTGTGGCACGGCTAAAAAAATGAACTGCGTCCTGAACCGTGGACGGGCGCCGCCGACAGCCGCCGACTTGCGGCGCCGGTGTGTGTATCCTGATAGAAACCATGTTTAGAATTCTAAAATACATGGCGCTGTGTGGCGCTGCGAGGTGCGCCGCCGAGCGGCGCTTCTGGTGTGCGACCTGCTTAAGAGCTGTCATCTGTCATTATCACAGAAAGATTATCTCTATCGTCCATTTACATCAATTTCTATTTTGAAAACGATTTTTTGCATAGGTTATCACATTTACTATGAATTTGTGTAGTAAATCCTGAAAATCCCCTTCGATTAATCTCCCAACACTACTTTTAATGTTTTCTTTCACATGGACTTTAAATGATTTCCACAACAATGTTTGAAAAGAGAACAAAGGCATTTGATTACTAATAACTTTGAGGGAAAAAAACATAAACTTTGAGCACTTTTGCACTTTTCTATCGCACTCTGGTTGGCACACACCATACAATAGAGTTTGTCTCAAAGAGCTGTGTGTTTGACTGCAAAAAACTCAACAACAAAGTATGCTTTGGCCTGTAGCTAATCCACCTTATTTCTGTTTATAAAGGGTTAACAATTTCCTGTAGAATCTACAGTAACTTACTGTAAATCAATTACAGCAAAAATACAGTATTTACACTTACAGCACAATTTATCTTGCTGTATGTGTTAACTAAATTGTAAGTAAATCTTTACTGTAAAATATACAGCAATTTTCACAATGCAATTTTAAAAAACAGTAACACTGTATAATTTTCATACAGTAAAATACAGTTTATATTACAGTTAAATGCTGTATACTTTACAAAAGAATTGTTAACGGTGTATGGGTTGCTCATACTAAATAACCCCAATAAGTTCAATGTAGCAATCCTCAATTTATGGGGCTGTTTAAAACCATTTTATTTCCTTTACATCTTGTTTTCTGGTGTCTTTTAATTGTATCCACTGGAATCTTAAGGTTTATGCCATCCAGGGCTTATAATGCAGCAACACATTAATATTTCTAACCACACAGTGCACTAATATCACCCGTTCAGATCACTGAAAAGCAGACCACATGAATGTTTGTACAAGTTTTGCCTAAATCTCAGTATTGCACTAAACAGTCTAATAGAGTATTACTTATTTTGTGAGTGGCTCTCAACTGGTGACCCACAGGCCTGTTCTGATGGATCACTACACATAAAAAAAACGGTATAATCGTGTATATTTATTAAACAACAAGATATTTTGATGCAAACTCACCTGTGATTAAAGGAAGAGTTAACCAAAAACTATATTAAATTACTATTTTCTCACCCCTAAGTGGTTCCAAACCTTGACGAATTTCTTTATTCTCCTTAACACTACAGGAGATATTTTGAAGAAAGCTGAAAATCTGTAACCATTGACTTGCATAGTAGGAAAAACAAATTATATGGAGGTCAATGGTTTATAGCTATTTTCAGATTATCTTCTTTTGTGTTTAACAAGTGAAGGGCGAGTAAATGACAGAATTTTTAGTTTTAGGTGAACTATCTATTTAAGTAATGAACACATGGACATGTTGGATGAATGACCGCCAACCTTATTTCACCAAGTAGGACATGTTTCTAGATTAACATCTATGTTGATCCCCGAGCAACATTACAATCAGCCAATCAGAATTAAGGGATACGTTGACCATTTGTGTTAAGTTTAGGCTTATGGTTAGGTTTATGCACTTCTGCATGATTGTTATCCAACTATTATTTAAGGGTTTAGGGGTAGGGAATGGATATGGACTACTTTTTTCAACAGAAATGATGTTCCAGAATGAACATATAGATGTTAATCCAGGATCGCATCATACTTGGCAAACTCATGACATGCTCTCATCTTTAAAACTATGACCAAACTGAGCAAAGTTAAGAAAAAAATGACCCAAAACGGCATTAAACTTAATTTACAATGAAGTGAATTGGGTTCTGTTTACACCTGGTATAAAATTTGGTCATGTATTTTTGGTGCTCTGTTGGGTCTGTTGAAGTACAATCAGTTGAGAACTTCTGCTCAATACTAACTTTGTGTATAACAGTGACATCTAGTGGATTTGTTTAGAACCCTACAAAAACTGCACCCTGGCAAACATCCGTTTTTTATGCAGAATCTGATGTGGTGGCCCGTTAGGATGGATGTATTCTTTCACATTTTCACCATCCACAGATTCATCTTTTTCTGCATTCTCTAAAATCTCAAAATACTGATGAAAAAAAAATTTAACTCTTCTTGTATGAAGTCAGATCAATCTCAAAGATAATACATGTACAAAATATAATTCATCCATCCATAACACAAATCACATTAACAAAATCCAATTTGTAAGTTCAAAACATGATTCAAAAATACACAAATCCAATTCGTAAATTCAACAATACACTAATCCACTTCGCAAATCCAATAATACACAAATCCAATTTGCAAATTAAAAAATACACAAATACAATTCGCAAATTCAACAATACACGAATCAAATTAGTAAATTCAACAATACAAAAATCCAATTCGCAAGATTAAATAATACACAAATACAATTAGCAAATTTAACAATACACAAATCAAATTAGTAAATTCAATAATACACAAATCCAATTTGTAAATTCAAAACACAATTCAAAAATTCACAAATCCAATTTGTAAACTCAAGACACGATCAAAATACAAAAATCCAAATCATAAATTCAAAACACAATTCAAAAACACAAATATCCAATTAGTAAACTCAAAATGTGATTCAAAAATACACAAATCCAAAACGTAAACTCAAAAGATAATTTAAAAACACACATATTCAATTTGTACATTCAAAACACTATTCAAAAGCACACATATCTATTTCATATATTCAAAACACGATTGCAAAATTAACAAATCCAATTTGTATTTATGAGTTATTTTGAATTGTTAAATCGGATTTTGTAAATGTGAATTGTACGGTGCATATATGAATTTATTTTTATTTTGTAAATGTAGTATTTTTTACACTAATCTCGCTCCATATTCTTGAATCTTTACTCTCAGCACTTATTTGCATGATAACTGATGGCATATCTGCTGCTGTAATTGTTGAGTTTTGCTTGCTGCTGTTCTTCCACGCAATAACACAAACATCTGCAAATATCATCAAACATAACCGAATGACATACGTCTTATTTGCAAGACAATCTTTAAACTAAATGATAGCTAATTTTACTCTTTGCATACATTCACAAGTAATCCCGTTGTACATTGATGCTAACCATGACTATGCATGACCAAAAAAAAATAAAAATGCTGCACTGTAAACTGAATGATGCAAAAAGCATAAAGTAGAAACATAAATCATCACAAATCATCTGCTTGAGTCTATATATATATGCAGTTAGCGCATTAAAATCCATTGCCCTCATAAATATATATATATATATAAAATGCACAAACTTTCTGTTGGTTCGAGATGTACATATATAATATTATTTGCATATATTGATCAAAATGTTATTCGGGACCATGTTGAATCTTCTGTCAGTTTTTGGAATCGCTGCATTTGAAAAAGCACCAAGCAAAAAGACACATGCTTTAAAGCACAATGAGTTCTTCCCAATCCAAAAAATATGCTTGATATCCTTCCAGGGGATTTGTACATAATCAATGTCTTTGGGTCTCCAAAGTATATTTTCAAGGCCGATGGTTTATTTTATTAGATATTTATGTTGTTCTCTATCACTATTTGCTGTACTGTATGCAACACTGGAAGGAAGGAGGAAGACGACGACAACTTATATCACAGAATAAAGGGAAATCAATATGATTGCACTATTTTGGGTTTGTGTTTGAGGTTTTATTTAGGTTTACAATGCAATAAATGCACTATGTAAGTGTGTAAAACCCTATTCCAGTAGTTACCTTATCTTTACTGTACTAATGTGATAACACTGACCCAGCACTGAGTTCTGGAGTAAAAAATTTGAAAAAAAAAAATCTGAAAAATGAAATGATGCGGAGCAAAAGTGTTTTGTGCTCTGGGGAAGGAAAAAAAATAAAATGCAAATAAAAATGAAAAGTAATGGTCTGTTTACTATCACTTACGCATGTATTAATGATGCATAACATGTCTTTTTAAAGTCAAAATAAAGATTTTAGGATAAACTGTGATGAGCGGCTTTTTAAAATACATTTTTATTATTATCCAAAAAGTATTAGATTAAATGCCAATGAAATACTTTTCAAAATGATTATGGTCGTAAAATCAATTATATTTTCCAAATTTCCACTAGAGGTCAGTAAAGGAGAAATATTTGTTCAACCAGAAAGAAAAGAAAAATTATTCAAACTCCACTTCTGATCAAGCATATTTTACCGTGTTTATAAAATCTGGAAGTATGCAATTGTTACTTAAAAATGTAAACTGATCTGATCCTTTAGAATATTTGCTTGTGTTTAACTCAATTTAATAATAAGTAATAAACTATATAAAAACTATCCATTTTACATCAACACCTAAAAATCAAGGGTTTTAAAATATTATATTTATTCATTGTTACCTTAGAAAATGATTTTTGCTAAATTAATAATAGAAGGTAAAGCAAACAAGATAAATGTTTTTGTTTGTTTACTTTTACCTTGTTGTTTATCAAATGTACAAAACAAATTTCCATGTCTGGTGAGTATATGTATAGGCTGTGTGTGTGTGTGTGTGTGTGTGTGTGTGTGTGTGTGTGTGTGTGTGTGTGTGTGTGTGTGTGTGTGTGTGTGTGTGTGTG